AATTTCCCTTCTTAATTCTGAGCCATAAAAGCAGCACATGCAAAATTACACCATTATTATGTACTTATATAGCTGTCTCTCCCACTAAATTGGGAACTCTCTGAAGGCTGGAGTTGTTTGTCATTCATTTATGTATTGAAATGTATATAACAATGCTGCACCTAGCAAATCACTAACAAATGCTTGTCCACATAAAGTTATTCATTCATTCATTCACTCACATTATTCAGTCTCCTTGAGTTTTACTTTTCTTATATTTTATTAAGATAGCAGTACAAAAAGCACCTGGCAAATTGTCAGACACATAGTAGATACTCAATAAATGATGCAACATTCTTTTTACCTACTCAGAGATGCAATCCATCAAACCTAAAGAAGTAGATATATTTTTAGAGCAGATGAGTGCTCTGGGACCACAGTCTCATTTGTTACAGACTCACACATTTCAGGTTCAAGTTTACCAGCAGATACATCGCTGTCCTTGGCTGGGGAACAGAAGGAAAAGGCTTCTTGGGGTGTCCTGCTTTCTCTATCTTACATGAACATGATTTGTGTATGGACTGTATGCCTTGTTACTCTTGCTGGGTGAACATAGCTGTAAATAACCCCTAACCTTCTAGACTGCTGTGTTCTGGTCCAGGCCCTATTTTTATTCATTCTTGGTTAAACATCCTCCCTTGTAATTGTTGTACGTGTCCTTTGTTGCATCTGAGTCATCAAATGACTTTATTATTCATTTTCCACTTTGATCAGGGAAGCTCAGAAATGTTTAATGTTTTCAAAACGGAAACATGATAGAGTATCACACGTCACTATATAGTAAATTTCGTACATGTGATTTGAAATCTTATCAATACATTAGGGAACTTCATTTTGGCCCTGTCTATTTTTAAAAAGCCAAACTCATTAATAGATGGTCTGTGAAGTTTTTTTTTAAAACAACAGTTTTGCTTATCAGGATGCTGAGGGCCTAAATCTTGAATTTGATTAAAGAATTCAGGTCCATAGTTCCTTGTCTGCAGTTCTGAAATTCCCCAAAATCTGACAAGCTAAAGTTTTTTTGTGTGACTTATTTGGTAACAAAATTTGAGCTGAACTGAAGAGAGGTTATTTATAGTTTTTCTTTATCCTACTTGGTGTGAATATTCATATTTCATGGAAAAAATATCAATGTTTGATTACGGCATGCTGCCTTAGGCCCCATCACAAATGTTATTCAATAGTCTACGTTCTTTATGACTCTCGTAAAATCTGAAAAGCCTGGGTTTTGAGTCATATTTAGTCCCAAGAGTTGCTCTAGGGAGAAGGAATTACTGATCTATAGTTAACCAGATTTGATCCCTAAGGTGTGGGCATCGTATATAAACACTTGTGTGGAATTAAGTTCCACCATCTTTGATTATATTGGTTTCAAATAGTATTCAAAATAGTTGTTACCTACAAAAGTATTTATGGATGAAATAATGTAATAACTGGTATTTGTTCAAAATAATGTGGGAGAGAGGAAGTGAGTATCAAGAACTTTGAAGAGTCTCAGGTTTTGCACTACTTGCAAACTCGCAAGTTAGTCTGCCGATTTTATGGATACTGGCAAGAGACCTGGGTCCCTTGGGTCAGAGAAAAAAGACTTTTTTATTCACAGAACAGCAAACAGCATGAGTTTTATGTTCAAATCAGATCCCTCTTGCTTTCCAAGTCCCACGGAGGCAACGTGAAGTGGCCCAGATGGATGTTGTGTAAGTAGTCGATTTGCATCACAGCCAGGGGACCCTGAGCTTAGAGAACCTGAATCTTGTACAATGGGCAGTGAGCAAACCTGCCTGACCTTGCCTTCCTTGGAGGGAGACATTATCTTTATTGTACTGATCAGTAAACAAATCTGCCCTCTGCTCTGAAAAGAGATATTATCTTTCTCATTCAACACTGTATGCTACACAAATACTTTTGAAAAGACAACCCATACAAAGGCATTTGGTGCCTGTGCTCACAAGACATATGGAAACACAAGAGACCCATGGAGACTTGTCTCCCAACAGTCATGGTGGTAGACAGGAATAAATTAAAAATAATTTAACTGTGAGTTGATAATTATTAAAACTGAGTGGCAGGCACATTCAAGTACAGTCTACTTTTGTATATTTTTGATAGTTTCCATAAATAACAAATTAAAAAACAGCAGCTACTATAACTAAAGTGCTATGTGACACTCTCTATATAAATCACAATAGAAAAGACTCAGGAAGATGATATTAACTCTTCACTGTCTCATAGCTCTACCTCACTAAGTAAATGTCAGGGATCTATTCGGTACATGTTCTTGGAGGCTAATTATATTATTGATTTGCTAGAGTATTGACAAATTTAATGTGAGTAATTTATATTAATAATATGAGTAATATTCATATTAAATATGATACATAAAGAGAGTACAGATTAGCCGGGCGTGGTGGCTCACGCCTGTAATCCTAGCACTTTGGGAGGCCGAGGCGGGCGGATTGCTCAAGGTCAGGAGTTCGAAACCAGCCTGAGCGAGACCCCGTCTCTACCAAAAATAGAAAGAAATTAATTGACCAACTAAAAATATATATACAAAAAATTAGCTGGGCATGGTGGTGCATGCCTGTAGTCCCAGCTACTCGGGAGGCTGAGGCAGTAGGATCGCTGAGCCCCGGAGATTGAGGTTGCTGTGAGCCAGGCTGACGCCACGGCACTCACTCTAGCCTGGGCAACAAAGTGAGACTCTGTCTCAAAAAAAAAAAAAAAAGAGAGTACAGATTAAATAACCACCAACTGTGACAGTCAGAAATATTGGGGAATGGTAGAAAATGACCCTTTAGTTTTTAATTTTTAGGAAGCATAATACACATATTGCATATGCATAAATATATTTGTTACTATATGCATGACAGTATTCATATAACATACATATCATGTATGTATATCAGTGAGATGGAGGCATAGGAGACTTCGTCTATGTGCAAGACCTTTTATTCACATGAATAGTAATCACACTGTCAAAAAAGGAAATCTTGAAAATAATGCCAATGTAAGTGTTTTTGGCAAATACACGTCTTCAGAATATATGTGCTTTAGTAAAACATAAATATATTCCTGTTCTAAAAATGGAGGTGTCTAGACTAAAAAGTGAATGTCTTATTCCCTACAGACCAAGCACAGCCCCCTCTCCAATTTCCCATTTGCCTCCAGAGAGGCAATTGCTGTTAACAGTTTGGTGTGTATTCTTCCCAGGCTAGTTTCTATAAATTTACATATATTAATATGTAAAAGTACAAATATAGTTTTTGAAAACATAAATGGAATTCTACTGTGCATACTTTTATATACCCTACTTTTTTCATTTAAAAGTTTCTTGGAGATATTTAAATTTCAGTATATATGAAACTGTTTCCATTTTAAAATTTGTTGCATAGAATCCATAGAATAGATGTATCATATTTGAAATATCCAATCTGAGCTCATATCGTACTGCTGCTAAGAATTTTTCATAGTGATTGTGAACACATATCACAAGTGCTTTCTGTACCAAGTAAGATTCATGGGCCAGTTCCTGCCCACCTGAGTCTGTAATATAAGACAACCTCACACAAACATGTATCGAGAATGTACTCTCTTTATGTATCAAGAGTTTTGAGGCTTTTTTTTTTTATTATTATGAGACTTATTTTAAATTCTCTTGCTAAATTGTATAGGATGGGAACTTAATGAGGAATAGGATATTTACATAGTCTCTGGGAATCTCCTCATCAATTACTTATTAGGTACAAAAGGAAAATCTATACAGTGAAGGAACCAAACTTTAAACAGATGACCAAAATCCACCTCACCAATAAGACCAAATGGGTATGACATGTTTCCAGCTACGAGACCCTGAGAACAATGCAACATCACTTAGGTAGTATTCTGACCACAATGTACTACTTGAATCAAATCATGAGAAAACATTAGACAAACCCATATAAAGGGACATTCTATAAAATAAGTGGCCAATACACTTTAAAGATAATGAATGAAATAAAAATATGGAAGAAAGACAAAAGAAAATGCTTATGAACTGTTCCAGGTTGAAGATACTAAATATACCTGACAAACAAATGCAATGTGTGATCCTGGACTGGATCCTGTACTAGAAAAAATTGCTATAAAGTACTTTGTTGGAACAACCAATAAAATTACAATATGGACCATAGATAAAAATGCTGTATCAGTGCTCAATTTCCCAATTTCAATAACTGCACTGTGATTATACAAGAATATATGTTGGGAATATGTTAGGGTATGTTAGGAAATATAGAAAATACACACTGAAGGATTAAGGATTAAATGAGTATGCTGTCTGCAAAAGGTTCAGGAAAAAAGTGTGTATGTATTTGTGTGTGTGTAGAGAAAGAGAGAGACTATGTTGAAGCGAATGTGGCAGATTATTAAAAAATAGTGAATACAGTGTAACAACCCAAGTGCCCATCAATTCATGAGTGGATTAATAAAATGTGGCATATGTATACCATGGAATACTATTCAGCTTTAAGAGACAATGGCGATATAGCACCTCTTGTATATTCCTGGATAGAGCTGGAACCCATTCTACTAAGTGAAGTATCTCAAGAATGGAAAAACAAGCACCAATGTACTCACCAGCAAATTGGTATTAACGGATCAACACCTAAGTGGACATATAGGAGTAACATTTATCAGGTGTCGGGCAGGTGGGAGGGGGGAGGAGGGGATGGGCATATACAACCACAACGAGTAAGATGTGCCACATTTGGGGGATGGACACGCTTGAAGCTCTTACTCGAGGGGGGAGGGGGAGCATGGACAATATATGTAACCTTAACACTTGTACCCCCATAATACGCTAAAAAAAAAAAAGACATTCCTTACAGCTTAAAAAACATAGTGAATACATACATGGATAATATGTCCAAGAAAATTCTTTTTACCATTTTTACAACTTTTCTCTAAATCTGAAATTCTTTCAGGCTACAACATTGAAGGACATGTCTTGGTTTCAGAGTGTGAAAGAGACCTGCAATGGCTAAGTCATGCATTCAAGTGATAGACATGGAGTGAGTTCAACCTCTTGCCTGCTTCAAGTAAGTTCTTGTTATAGGACTTTAGGAATAATTCTTTTTTAATAGATTTTTCCAGAAATATTTTACATGTCTCACAATTGGGAACTACCAAGGCACTTCAGTTTCAGAAATATGAATAGCTGACCAGCTGTTAATTACAGAGGCAGGAGAGGAACTTGTATTTTAGATGGCAAGTTATTGTTTTACTAAAACATTTTCTTGCATCAACCTGTTGTATTATACTAATTCTCCTTGTCCTGGGCTAAGCTGTGCCTGTGCAGGTGAAGTTGCCCTCACTTTTAATTCTTTATTTTTTGTAATGCTGGTGGAGTTAGTGAACAATGGCATGGCTTAAGTTTAGCCATGCATAAAAACATAGAAATTATTTTAAAAGACCAATAATCCCTCTTGCTTATTTGTCTCTGAATTGCTCCAAGAAACTGGCAATAGCAATTATTTTAGCAACTTTATTGAGATATAATTCATATACATACATTTTACTCATTTAAAGTGTATTCATACAAATGGCCCAGCGCAGTGGCTCACGCCTGTAATCCTAGCACTCTGGGAGGCCGGGGCAGGCAGATAGCTCAAGGTCAGGAGTTCGAAACCAGCCTGAGCAAGAGCGAGACCTGTCTCTTACTATAAATAGAAAGAAATTAATTGGCCAACTAATATATAGAAAAAAACTTAGCCGCGCATGGTGGCACATGCCTGTAGTCCCAGCTACTCGGGAGGCTGAGGCAGTAGGATCGCTTGAGCCCAGGAGTCTGAGGTTGCTGTGAGCTAGGCTGACGCCACGGCACTCACTCTAGCCTGGGCAACAAAGCGAGACTCTGTCTCAAAAATAAATAAATAAAGTGTATTAATACAATTCAATAGTTTTTAATGTTTTTAATGTATTTCTAAAGGTACAATCACCACCACAATCTAATTTTAGAACATTTTCATTACCCCCAAAAGAAACCCTATACCCATTAGCAATTACTCCTCATTCACTCCTCCCCCTTGCCCTAGGCAACCACTAATCTACTTTCCCTGTCTCTGGATTTGCCTATTCTGGACATTTCACATAAACTGAATCATACAATATGTGGTTCTTTGTGTCTGGCTTCTTTCATTTAGCATGATGTTTTCAAGACTCATTCGTGTTGTAGCACATATCAGTACTTCATTTCTTTGTATTGCCAAATAATATTACATTTTATGAATATGCTGTATGTTGTTTATCCATTCATCAGATGATGGATATTAGAATTGTTCCAATTTTTTGGCAATTGTGAATAATGCTGCTGTGAGCACTTGTGTATATATATGCTTTAATTTGTCTTGTGTATATATGTAGGAGTGGAATTGCTGGATCCCATGATAACCCTGTGTTTAACATCTTGAAGAACTGCCAGACTGTTTTCCACAGTGGCTGCATCATTTTACATTCCCACCAGCAGTGTAGGAGGGTTCCAATTTCTTCACTTGTTATTGTCTATCTTTTTTATTATAACCATCCAAGAGGGTGTAAAGTGGGATCTCATTGTAATTTGGATTTGCATTTCCCTAATGACTAATGATGTTGAACATATGTTCATGTGCTTATCAGCCATTTTTATCTCTTCTTTAGAGAAACTTCTATTTAGAGTCTTTGCCAATTTTGAATTGGATTATTTATCTTTTTATAAATAAGTTGTAAGACTTTTAAATATATTCTAGATACAAGTTTCTTATTCAGTATATAATTGGCAATAGCAATTTACTCAGGTTGAATATCATTTGGTTGCTTTTTGTCATTTAAAAATTTTTTTGGATATATTTCCTTTTTTTTTAAGACAGAGTGTCCGTCTGTTGCCTGGGCTAGAGTGCTGTGGTATCAGCCTAGCTCACAGCAACTTCAAACTCCTGGGCTCAAGCCATACTCCTGCCTCAGTCTCCCAGGTAGCTGGGACTACAGGCATGCACCACCATGCCTAGGTAATTTTTTCTATCTTTAGTTGCCCAGCTAATTTTTTCTTTTTTTTTTTTTTTTGTAGAGAAGGTGATCTCGCTGTTGCTCAGGCTGGTCTCGAACCCCTGACCTCAAGCATTCCTCCCACCTTGGCCTCCTGGAGTACTTTTACAGCGTGAGCCACTGCGCCAGACCTATATTTGATTTCACTATATGTGAACAGTGTCAATTAAAAAAAACTATTTCAAAAAGTACAAACACTCTTCGACTTACCATGGGGCCATATCCCGACAAACCCATCATAAATAAGCTGAAAATATCCTAAGTCGAAAATGAATTTAATACACCTAACCTATGGAACATCATAGCTTAGCTTAGCATACCTTAAATGTGCTAAGAACACTTACATTAGCCTGCAATTGAGCAAAATCATCTGGCCCAAATAGTACATTGTAGGTTGTTTATCCTCATGGTTGTGTGGCTGGTGGGGAGTTGCAGTTGTTGTCACTGCCTGGCATCTCAAGACAGTATTGCTAGTCCAGGAAAAGATCAAATTCAAAATTGGAAGTACAGTTTCTACTGAATTCATATTGCATCATCGTAGAGTCAAAAATTGTAAGTTGAACCATCATAAATAGAGGATTGTCTGTATCCATAGAACATATTACCATATTTGAAACAACCCTTAGTAATTGCCACCTGAATGAGCTCTCCTGTTTCTTATAGGACCTATTCTAAACCATACTCTTCTCTCCTCCACATTTTTTGGGGGTGTTTAGTTGAACCCCACTAGACTTATGCTTTTTAAGATTAAGGAACATGTATTCTGTATTTCTTTCTTTCTTTCTTTTTTTTTGAGACAGAGTCTCGCTTTGTTGCCCAGGCTAGAGTGAGTGCCGTGGGGTCAGCCTAGCTCATAGCAACCTCAAACTCCTGGGCTCAAGCAATCCTCCTGCCTCAGCCTCCCGAGTAGCTGGGACTACAGGCATGCACCACCATGCCCGGCTAATTTTTTCTATATATATTAGTTTGCCAATTAATTTCTTTCTATTTATAGTAGAGACAAGGGTCTCGCTCTTGCTCAGGCTGGTTTCGAACTCCTGACCTTGAGCAATCAGCCCGCCTCGGCCTCCCAAAGTGCTAGGATTACAGGCGTGAGCCACCGCGCCCGGCCTTGTACCACTGTTTTTTGATAAGTTTAGAGTACATGATTCCTACTGGCTCTTTGTAAACTCTCAATGTAGAATGCTTTTCTCCCTTGGGTTTTGTGTTCTCATGCTACAGAATACATCATCTTAGAGTTGGAAGGGTCCCCAGGGGTCCTTTAGTCCAGTGGTGCTCAAAGCGTGGTCCACAGACTGATGCCACTTTATAATCTCTTACTGGATTATGCCGATTAAGTAGGGAAATGGAATAAGTATTTAGAAACTTTCATTGTATTTGATATTGCTGTGATAGCCAAACACATGATTTTGGATTATACAAAAATATCCAACCACAATAGGTTAGAAATTTTAAAAAGTCCCTCACCAAAGACAGTTGAGAAATACTTCTGTGGTCCAATCTGTCACCACAGCAAACATCCTTTCTGTAGCCAACCCACTAGAATTTAATCAGTTCAGTTTATTAATTTAAGAAAGATTTATTCAACTCCTACAACATGTAGTGTACTGTTTAAGCTTGCAGGACCATATCTTAGTTTTTCACTTCCTAGGTGTGTGGACATGGGGAGGGTTCTTAATCTGTCTGGGCCTCAGTTTCCCACTCTATAAAATGGGGAAAAAAGAGTATTCTCAAAAGGGTTGTTTTGAGGAATAAATTAATAAATCTACATAAAGTACTAGAACAGTCCCTGGTGACAGATAATCATTCAGTATATGCCAGTGAAGTTGGCGATGCCAATGTTGGAGATGAGGATATTGAGTATCGTGGATATAGTTATGTAGGGTGCAGCCCTTGCTATCCAGTAGCTGATGGGGGAGTAGGACAAAGAGACAATTTCGGTGCAGTAAGTGCTGTGACAGGGTGAGTACATAGGGCATCCAGTTTTGTCCTAGAGGGTATATTAGTTAGTGTAAACCTAAGCTGCTGTAACAAAGAGACCTCAAATACAGTGACTTAAAGACTACAGAGGTGTATTACTCTTTCACCTAACATTTCCAAAGTGGACAGTTGTGTTCGCTATGTAGGCTAACTCCTGTAATAAACAATTTCCAAATCGGAGAGACTAAAGACAATAAAATACTTATTTCTTGCTCACATCGTGATCCAATCAGGTGATTAGATAAGTGGCCTTCCTCATAGTCATTTAGGGACACGGGATCTCTGACTCTATTTGGGTGACATGTGCCCATGAAGTGTGGGAGAATGAATGGATTTTCAGGGATCACCAACTGCTGCCACAGGGATCCATTAATGACATAATATAGCTGGAGACCAGAATACAGGGGAATGGGGATGGCAAGAGATAAGGTTGGAGAGCAAGGAGAGGCCAGATCATAAGGGACCTTGAATGCCAAGTTAAGACTGCTGGACATATCATGTATGTGATAGAGGAGTGGGGATAAGAACACAGTCTGATTTTTTAAAAAAATTTTTAAGAAAATACCCTGGCTGTAATATAGAGAGAATTTTTGAGAGAGGCAAGAAGGTATCAGTTAGGATCAACTCTATTGCATTAATCCAGGCAGATGTTGATGGCTTGAATCAAGGTTGTGTCAGTAGGAATGGAAAAAAATTAGATGGATCTGGAGGGAGTGTCTTCAGGGCTTGCAGACAGATGGAATAGGGAGAACTGGTAAGGATGAGGGTGGGGACCCAGATGACATCCTGCCAATAATTCTCTGAGATGGGGAACCTAGAGAGGAGAGTATGGGAGGTGGGCTGAGGTGGGAGATTATAAGTTAGGGTTTATCCTCATTGAATTTCAGGTTACTCTGGGCTTTTCCAATGAAGCTCTCCAGTTGGTCTTTGGAGAAAGAGACATGGATTTCAGAAGAGAGAGATCTACACTAGAAGTAAGGCACCACAATGTATAAATGGCAGCTAGAGCAATGGGAGTCACTAAAGAGATACCACGTAG